TAAAAACTTAATTTGTATACAAATAAATAAATATAAATTACATGCAAGAATAGAAGCTCAAACTAATTTATTCACAACCTAAACCTACTAGAGTGGTCAAGACTCACCTAGATGTGAATAGTTAAAATATGATTAATGGATGTGCTATATTTGATCTACATAGTAAACCAAATATTGTGTTTAAAAAAGGCTTATCCTAATGTAGGGCATGTATAAGAGTCAGAGTGTAGCTAGTCAGCATAGCCACAAGAGCAACTGTATATATGAGTAATTCTATTTCTGTAGTTTCTAGAGAGTAAAGAGAGCTGAGATATAGTATTGATCCGTAATAGGATTTGATAAACTTTATTCCAGTATAAAAAGTTGGAGCAATAGAGGATCCAAATATTATTATAGAGTTGATTAAAAATTTTTAAAAGTATTTTGATAATAAGTTGGGAGGCTTGGGAGTAGAAAATTTTGAAAGGGTCTAGTAATTAGACTAGAGCAGTGGGTATGAAACCTTTAAGTATGAAATCAAGAGTATAGAGGTATAACTATGATAAAGAGGAGTTAAAAAAAGGATGTGAAGTAATAGTGTATATTAGATTATTTAGTTGGTGTATCATAAGGTTGAGATTAGTGTTGGAGATAATATCATAAATTGAGGTGGTAATGATTTGTGTTAAAAGTTTATTGTTAGGACAAGAGCATTAGTGAGAGGGAGTATCAGGCTGGTTGCATAAGAAACAATTAGAAGATATAAATGTAAAGAGATAAATAGAGTGAAGATATGCATGTGTTGCAAGAATATTAAGAAGTATTTTGATTTTAAAAGATTTTAGATAGTTTAATTTAGAGATGGTAAAGTTGTATAATACTTTTTGATTGTTGTTAAAGTATAGCCAAGAGGCTTTTCAATCGATTAGATAAGAAAAGTGAGACTATTCATAGGCACGATATTGTGAAGACCATAGAGTAATATTTTGGGTTTTTCAGATTAATTTAATGAATTGTCTAGTAGAGCTTTCAATAAAGCTGTTGTTCCATTGCAGGATGGAGAATGGGTTGTAAAGATTAATATAATTAAAGTATAGAATTGGTAAATTAGAGTAGTTATTTGCTAGTAAGTCTGTGAGATTATTAAAGGGGTTGTCAGAATGGGCTTGGACTTTGTAGAAGGAGAGTTGAATATTGTAGGCTTTGAGAATATTAAGAAGTATATGCCAGATAGGCCAGGCATTGAATTTGAATTGTTTTGGTAAATAGGATGATAAAGCCTGAAGTTTGTTGTATTTAGAGATAACAGATTGTGAGTCAGTAAAAATTTTTATAGTTGAGTTGCGAGGAAGTATAGGAATAGCTAAAATTATTGCTATTAGTTCTGCTTTGTATGAGAAGAGCCAGTTGAAAATTTGGGCAGAGAAGCTTTGAATAACTTGGTCTTGGTGAACTTGAACCTAGCTAATACCTATTGACATTGGTTAGTGACAAATTGTTTTATAGAGCCATCAGTATAGAAGATAAATTGGTGTTTAAATAGGTTAGATAATGAAATCTCAATTAATTTTAAAGAGGTATTACTGTTATTGAAGATAGCAGGGATGGGTAAGTTAGTTATATTGATATTGATAGTAGAAGGTAAGAGTAGATAATATTGTTTTAGTTCTGTAGTCTAAGGTTTGAATTATTACTAGAGAGATAGAGTAAGATAATTCAAAACTTGAAGTCATGTTTAAAGAAAAAGTTGATGGCTATAGCATATCCAGGCACTGTGCTGATATTGTAGATATAAGGAGTAAGAGTATTACAAATCATGATAGCAGTTCATGCTTTGAAGCTATCTGTACAAGACAGGAAATAAGTAAAGTGTTGAGTTTTGAGAGGTTTTTGTAAGAATGTTTGGCTAGCTAGTTTGGTTTTAGTAATGCTAATAATATCCAAATCTTGTTGTAGACAATAGTGTTCCCAGGTTTCTTTTTTAGTGGTTGTGTTGAAGCCTTGTATATTATGTGTACAAATTGAAAGAGTTAGTGAATAAAGTAAAGTAGGTTGGGAGGTGCCAAATTGGAAGATATAAGAGTGTTGGGTATTATAGATGTGGAGTTAAGAGGAATTGAAGGCTTTTGTGTTGTGTAGACTACTCATAAGAGTGTTTATTTGTATCTATTAGCACTAGATTGTCTAGTAGAGTATTAGATATACTGCCAGAAATTAGTATAGTTACAGTACTAGTAGGTTCTGTAGTTAATAATATTGTTGTATCTATGGTTGCATTCATGTCTGGGATTGGCTTTAGAGTAGAAGATACTTCTTCTGGTGCAGGGATAATGCTTGTAAAAAATTGTATTGTGCTAGAAATGTTGGGGTGCTCTGTAGATATATTGTCAAATATACTCCACTTAGGTGTAGAAAGAGGTAGAAGTTTTAATAGGGCATTCAGGATCATTTTGATGGTATAGTACAGTTTAAGCACTTTTATGGTGGGTGTAATATTAGGTTGGTTTTGAATAGGTAGGGAGATGATAACTTTATGTTGGAAAGGTCTCTAATAATCTCATTGATGATATTGGGAAGGTTGGAACTAGTAGTTGCTTTAGTAGTACTTTGAGAGAGTGTGCTTTCTATTTAGATCCAGTCAGTAAGAAGCTAGGTAAAGTAATAGTGGCTACATAGTAGTTTTGTAGTGGCTGAAAGCTGTTATGGTGTGGTAATTGGCAGAAAGATATTTAGACTTTTTATAATTTTTTCTGCTATAGAGAGATAAGACTTGTCTGTAGGGTTTGCTTGTATAATCTTGAAAGAGAGAAGATAATAGATTCTGTAATAGGTAGAGGCTTGCTTAATGAACTCTTTTGTCTTATCATCATTAGTAATAGGGAAGATGAATAATATAGTGGTTTTAATTTTGTTATTTTCCTTAGGTAGAGAGGTTTAATAGCGAAGAAGTTATTAGGTAGAAGTTTAAATATATAATATTCTCTAAGTATTGCAATAACCTCTGTGAGTATAATCATTAAGATTGCTTGATTAAATGGGAAATATTTTCAGACCACAGGGTTAAGTTCTTGGTAGGTTGTAGAAAGGGGCTTTTTGGGAAATGTGAGCCTGAAGTAAATGTTAGGGATTTTGGTTACAGTGTAGTAATTAGTGAGTTTTCTTTTATATGCAGCTAGATGCTACAGTGTGAGATTAGAAATAGCTAGTGTAAGCTGGCTGAAAAGGTGCTGTAGTGTGGGGTAAGGGAGAATGCTTAGCAAAGTAGGTTGCTAGCAACTTGGAAAATCTAAAGATTCTTCTTAGAATATTAACTATAGCCCTGGCGTGGTAGCATGGTAGCATTGTGTAATTAGGAGTTTGAAAAGAAGGATATTTTGAATTTTAGTAAGAATTTGGTTGGGCATGTCTAGAAGAGTGATCAATTTGCTTTCTAGTATGTTGTTAATCTGCATTTTGATCTTATTAAAGAACTCTTTATCAGAGTTTTTGATTTGAAGAAAACCTCTAGTCTAGTAGATTACTCTGTATATTTGTCCTGGTAGAAGCTCAAGAAGTTGAGATTTGAGATATATTATGTGATAAGCATCTTTTTAAGCATTGTGTAGATGGTGTTGCAGGTAATTCAAATCAATATTAATTAATATAAAATAGATACAAACAGATATATCCCAAATCCTCTGAATATTATTCTTTAGATATTTTTGTATAATTTTCTTTTTCTTAATTGAAAATTGCTTTAATTTAATATTCTTTTTTTTTTTTTTATTAATTGTCTATACTTTTTCCTTTAAAATTTGTAAAATAGAATTTAGTTTAAGTTCTGGTATTCTAGCACTTTTTTTATTTTCTTATTTTATCTCTTCTCTTTTGCTTATTTTGCTTATTATTGCTTAATATTGCTTATTTTTATATTTATTAGTTTTTTTACACCTTTGTACTTTCTATTCTTCCTTTTGTCTCTTATTTATTTTATTTACTTAATTTATTTTATTTCTTTTTTTCATTCTTTTATTTGCTTTTTCTTTATTTTTTTTTTGTTTATTTCACTTTTTTCTGTCTTATACTTTTATTCTTATTTTTTTTTCTCAGTCTATTATTTTTTTTCTTTCTATTTTTTTTAAAATATATTGATAATATCCTTATTGTCTTTATGTTTTTTAAAACCTAACAACTTAACATATTTCTCAAAGTAATCCTTATTCTAATAAATAGCAAGTCAAAATAATTCTACTAAGCAAGTAGATACTAGTATTTAGACTTTACTAGATTATAGTTCTAGTTATAATTCTTATACAAATAAATCTTTTATAATATATAGAGTAAATTAGTATTAATTTGTTAATAAAATTTTAAAACAATAATTAATAATTATACTTAATTAAGAATAAAGTTATATTAGATTTTGTATTAGATTTTTCTATACAAATAGAAAATAACTATAATAAAAATTCTATAACTTATAAAGTTAGTTGTACTTAGTGTTTATATTTGGACTATATTATATTTTTTTAAAAATATAAACATAGTCTAAATATATACTATATATCCAATTGAAAAATAACTATATTCATATTTTGTCTATATAATTTTAATTAGTCTAAATGCTAATACTAGTTATATTATAAATGCTATTATAAGTTATAAAATAGAATATTTCTTAAATTACACTATGCGTAAATACACATATATATTGATCATCATAGTTGTACCGATATTACTATAGTTGTACATAGTACCGTAGTATGTACGCATTGTTGATTTAACTCTGACATTGGTAATGCTTATGTATGTAATCGCAATTGTTTTGATCTCAATAAATAGGTAAATGATCATAATAATAGTTAATTTTCTTTCACTTGTAACCTAAGAGTCACGTATTCTTTTCTTTTTTTTTTTTTTTGCGCCCTTTGCTTAAAAATTTTTACAAATACTTTAGTTAGACAAGTAAGAAGCTTGTAATGTAAGATCACAGAAATATCATTTTCATGTTTTTTAGCCAAAGGTTAACTGTGTATTTTTTTATGCCAGGTTTGCTTAGAACCTTCACTTATAAAGGAAGCGTTTAGTTGACCAGTAAGACAGTTTATTTTATGAGATAGACAATTGAGGATTCATTAACATTAACAAACATAGAAATGATTGTTGAAATAATCATTTTTTTACCTGTAGCCTAAAAGTTGCAACCCAATTTTTTTTTCATGTCTTCACTCAATATAGAAGCTCATTAAATATGGAAAACCAAATTACAATAAGCAAGTATTTTGAACATTAATATATACATGACACAAGCTGGGATAAGTCATCGTGATAACTTTTTTTTTATTTTTTACCTTTTATACTAGTTTCCTTTAACCTGAATCCAGAATATTCAAATGCGACCAATAGCCCTTCTCTATCCCAAGTATATTTTACATGTTTCTATTGTTTGTTTGTTAATATTCATAACTTAATCCATCCTTATATATATATACATATGTACAACTTTTTTTTAGTTGAACAATTTTAGTAATGATTATCATTCTATGGACAACATTAGTAACAATTATCATTCTATGGATGATAGTTCTGATAGCGAACTTAGTAGTGCCGATTTTGAAGATTCAGGAGTAATTAAAAACTACAATAATCCATTAGAGTTGAAAGTTGCGCTTACCTTTGGAAGTTTCAAGGAATTTAAAGCCTGGATTAAATGTTTTGCTAAAAAGGAAGGGTTTGGTTATCGAATCAGAACTAGCACAATGGATGGTGATATAGTTCATCATGCTATATACGAATGTTCAAGATTAGGTACACACCAACCTCTGGTGACTACAGATCCTACTAAGTAACGAAATGTGTCTTCACAACGAACAGAATGCCCTTGGCATCTTAACTTTACCTGCCCCAAAACAAATAATATTTTGAAGATCAACTTATTTAAGAATGAACATAATCATATTCTTACTCCAACTATAAATGAAATAGCTCCACGATTTAGGAGATTAACCCCAGAAATGTTATCTGATATAAAAAAATATATATTGCAAGGTCGAATAGATTCTGGGTCCATCTACCCTTTACTAAAACATGATTATCCTAACCAATCAATCTTTAAAAAAGATCTTTTTAATGCAGTATACTGCTTTCAAACTAAAAATAACCCTGGTGATTCAGATGCATCCCAAATGCTCCAAATACTAATAAATTAGAAAGAATCAGATCCTTCATGGGTAGTTAAACTCTATTTAGATCCTTTGTCCCAAAGATTAATCAGATTATTATGGATGTCACCATTGCAATGATCCTTATATGAAAATTTTTATGACGTTGTAATTCTAGATACCACATCCAATACAAATAGGTTTAAGATGATGCTTTGCGTCATTGTTATTATTGATAACCATTTCATATCTAGAATTGTTGCTTCTACAATAATTGATGACGAAACTTTTGACACTTTTCAATAGATCATTACAACAATTTTTGAAGAAACAAGTGTTAATCCTGAGGTTATTTTTACTGATTCTGACCCATCCTTAATTAGTGCTATTAAGGAAATATATCCGAATACAGATCATATGTTATGCATTTTTCATATTTACATGAACCTTCGCAAAAAACTTACAAGTAAACTAGGATCTCATTTTGGAGATTTTTGAAAAAAATTTTACACATGTCGAAATTCTTTATGTCATGAATTGTTTGAAACTCGTTGGCATCATTTAATTGATGAATTTCCAACAGTGGCAAAATATTTGTTGGAAACACTTTATCCTAATAAAGAGGCGTAGGATATACCTTGAATATGTAATGTATTCACAGCTGGTGTTTAGAGCACCCAAAGGATTGAATCGATCAACAAACAAATACATGACAAAGTTGACCAAGTTACCTCTCTCTGTGATTTACTTGTCAACATCAATGATTATATTAAAAGCGAGGAGCAATTTGAAAAATTTGAAATCTAACATAATGTACTGCCAACTGTTGGGTTACCAACATTAAATACTAGGCTTTTTAAAGAAGTTGATGACATAGTTAAAAGGTTTTTAACACCCATTATGTTGGGAAAACAGTGACCACAGATGAATCAACCTGTATGTTTTGATGTTAATTGAATCCAAGATTGGTAGCAATTAGTAGAGGAAAGTTTTTTTTTTTTTTTTTAGAATCTCTATTAAAAGCAGTATGTTTTATGTTTTATTTATACTTAACCTACAGGTGGAGAATGATAATGAAGAGATTAATGATGGATTTCGAGAACATGATGAGGATATTCGGCAAGCTCTTTTCAAGTCATTGATCAAAAATATTGTACACAAAGATGTTTTGGAAGTGTAGAATGTTTGTGCTACTGGCGCTGAAAGTATTGGAAATTATGTAATGTTACTAAATGATGGTACACATTTGTGTACTTGTCTTTTATTAATAAACAAAGGTTTAGTATGCCATCATTTTTTTCAAGTGCAACTTATTCTCAGGCAGCTACTTTCCATATCACTATTATTCCATCCCGATGGTATTTAGAGCCTGGCACAGATCAAAAAATGCTTTTGCAACAAATGTCTGCTATCAAAGTGTGTGCTGCAGTTAGATCAGAGGATGAAATATCTAACAACTCTAATATTACATTTGAACATTTATTATCTATTCAGTCTAATTCACATAATTCATGTTCAGCAAGATCTAACAAATCTATATATGTAGAACTGTTTAGACTGTCGAGAAAAGCTATTGATTTAGCTATGAGGACTAATATGTCACAAGAGCTATCGAATGTCTTTAAGACATTTCTCTACGATGCACAAAATAAAATTAATGAAAGTCTACAGACAAATAATAACGATGATAACCATGATGGTTATGAAATTAGAAACCCAAATATCACTAAACATAGAGGCAGACCACCGAAAAGATTAAAGTCTAATGTTGAATATACAAGTTCTAAAGGCAAACGGGTATTAACGGACAATAATGAAGCTTTAAATAGGGTAAAAAATAGTAATAGCAGCAACATAATTAATACAAAGTGCCGTATGTGTGGAAAATGCAAGCAATACGGTCATTATTCCAAAACTTGCCAGGCATCTTAAGATATTGATTTTTAGTATATTTAGTTAGTTAACATTACTGCACATAGCATAGTGGTATATAGTATAGCATGTTATACTGTAGGATATATAAATGTGCTTAGATTATTTGATACATTTAATTGATAAGTTATGCAGTTAGATAACAAGGAATTTTTTTTTCTTTATCATCGTTTAATATTAAAATATCCGAACTTATACAATTCAAAAATTTTCATTGCTTAACAATGAAATTTCTAGAAGGCAATTGATAAGTCTGGATACTTTATTTGAACTTTATATCTTTGAAGTTAAGAAGGTTTCTTCAAGAAGTGCGGATTCAGTTAAGTATTTATTTCAGTGTTTTCTTGCTCATTTAATATTACTAACTAATCTATGATTCTATCCAAAAAAACCAAGCCTCGCAATTTAACAAGTCTTAATTTCTGGGTACTTGGTTGTTGCTGTAATTTTATATTCAATGTGGTTTGTCCAACCTTATCATTATAATTCGCAGGTTGATTAGTAATAGCTCTTTACGTTAGGGTTAGGGTTAGCATCTGGTTAGATATTAGAGTATTTTATAGTAAATCGCTTTTTGTACGTATGAAAGACTTACATATATACGGACGTTCGTATATATAAGTTATGTATTGTATATTGAAAAATTATCTGTTATACATATGTTCATACGTACATACAGTACAGTATAAATATATGATTTGTTTGTAGTACAGTAGTAATGTATATAGTATTATGTTATACTAATAAATTGCCAATATTGCACGTATATATGTACATGATCGTTATTAATGATCGTATATAATCACATGATGCGTGTATATATATACATATAGTGTACAAATAAAAATCGTCAATTATATATATCAGTAATAGAAAAACAAAATTAAAATATAATTCATTTAAATACTTTTTGGTGTATTTAGAATAAATATATTTCAGAAATTAAGTTTTTTTCACCTCAAAGTGATTTATATTATATAATATAAAAATATGAGATTTAATTCAAAATATTAAACTAAACAAAAAACTGAAAAATATATTGATAGTTGTGCATGTAAATCCTTAATTGGCTTAGGTAGCACCAACAATCTCTAAGGCAGCATTGGGGATCTTGGTTGGGAGAATGACTAGGCAGTTACTAGAATTAGAGTGGTAAGAAAAGTGGTGAAACACAAAGGAACCTGTAGTAAAGAATTGGCCTTACCAAATTTGAAACACCTCTGGCACTGTATGGATCTCTCTAGCCAATAAGAGGTTGAAGCATAGAGGCATGTATATATAAATAAACCCAACAGGCAATGGTCATACCTATATGTGAGTCTATGGGTGTTAAGAGGACTTAGGACCTACCAATATTAGAATAGCTGATATAAATGCATGCAGTGATAACTAGAGGCTACAACTGCCGAGAATCATCATAAATAGAAAACAATGACATACTTGTTAAGAATCTCTAGGCCTCATAATGCCATCTAACTAGAGTATTTAGCATATCAAAAAAATTTGGCATGCCACAGGGCATGCCTTTTGTTAAAATTTGTGCTATAGTATGCCTTTTGGCATGCTATAAAATGTTATATATTATTCCTGTATTTATAATATTATATATATGGTCTGAATAATTTTTATACTATACTCAGTAGCATGCCAAATTTGTTTTTGGCATGCCAGTACATACCACCATTGGTATGCTACTGTTAGCATGCCTTTGCTACTATGCCAGACACCTTATACCTAACTATACTTGGTACTGGAAGTATATACAAAATATGTCTAAACTCCTTGTCACCATATTGGAAAGTACAGTTATTTGCATATCACCAATTCACAATATTAAAACCTGGGTCTCAAAGTTATAAGAAATCTAGCTAGTTATAGTAACATGCAGACTTGAGATACTTACCTAATTGGATAAATGCAGCTACATAGCTTGAGATATGAACTCTTGGAAAGTATGCCAGTAAGGATTAAGAGAATCCTCTGTCAGACATACCAAACTAGAAGCAAAAAGTATCTACTTGGAGAAATACACACCAATTTAGAAGTTAAGATAGTAGGTTATGTAGGTAATGTGGCAGATATGTGAATACTAATTAGCAGTTAAGGAAGAAAGTACAAAAACTAGGTTAATCACATATGTAGAAGTGTAATGACTCTAGTGGGTTTTAGCTATGAATAAATGGTTTGTATACCTAAAGTTTTAGTCTCAATACTAATATGTAATATGTATGTGTTTATGGTACCACCATATGTCAATTCACTTAAGTATTAATAAAAGTTTGGGGTGGGTGCTACATCCAGGGTATTTCTCTAAATATTAAAAAAAAAATAAAAAAAATAAAAAAAATAAAAAAATAAAAAAATAAAAAATATATTGAAGAATAAAATAATCATATTTTATAAATACAAAAAGAAAGAGAATATTATAGATATTTATTTTTATTAAAAATTTTTAAATATATATTTTAAATTTTAAAAATTGTATTTACAAACTCTTTCTGATAATCCCTTATACCAAAATTTTCCAGAAAATTTTTCAAACTCAAAACATAATGAAGAAGTCATAAGAAGCATCTGGAGTTAAAATAAAGCTATAAGTCAGCACCTGTCATTTAGAAGTAGTTCTCATATGCTACTTGCTGACAGGTTTAGAGTTTATCACTTATTGCTAGAATGGCACTTGTCATTTAGAAGTAGTTCTCATATGCTACTTGTCAACAGGCTCAGAGTTTATTACTTACCAAAAAGAAGAGTTCATTTGGAAAAAACAGTTTATGACAAGTAACTGCTATTTGCTTAGTCACTCATTACTCTAGATAAATTTTTCTTTATACATGCCCTCTTGTTCTAGCAACAAAATTTTCAAAGAAAAGTAGACAAAACAGCTTATCCCTATCCAAAGATTAATATTGTTTACTAGTTTTTTTTTTTGGTCAACATAATAGATAGCAACTATGTGTTTGGCCTAATTTGAATATGGTGCTACTAGTTTGGTCTGGAGCTAATAATTAAAATACTTCTAATGATAGCAGCAAGTGGCTTGAGATACGGGTCCTTGGATAGCGGCAGCACTTGGCTTGAGATACAGATTAGAAGTCTTGGCCAAAACTTCTGGTATTAACATGGTTTGGAGAGAAAAGTATAAAGATTAAGGCAAAGCTTTACAATAGAGATATGCAATATTGCTATTGTTATATAATTTTTATCTACCTGGCATGGGTTATAATAGTGCTTTTTAGTGTGTAGTTTTTCTTGTTAGGGTCCTCTGACTTTTTTGTCCTTTTTTATATTTGTTCATTTACAATGAAAACATATTTAGAATAGTGTTTTAGTTGTTTTGGATTTTTTTATTTCTCCTAGATGTAGTTGTTCCTTGGTAAAAGTAGTATATATAATCCTTGCTTAGAGAAAAGTAGAAGATAGGTATTCTACTTAGATTTTGGTGAAAAAAAATCTTGAAGGTTGGGTGATCCTGACAAGGTATACAATAGTTGCTTATAAACCAAGGGGGTATCAGAGATGGTATAAAATCCTTGGCAAGTTAAGGAGAAGGTAAACAGTTGGTATAGCAGGTTGCATTGGGTTTAACCTGGTAAGTCTTTATTAGATTAGAACAATAAGTTATAAAAATTTTAATACATAAGTGTATATAAATTATATAGCAGTTCACATGAATAAAGACAGAATCATTTAAAAAAAAAAATAATAAAAATTGTTTTCAATTAACAAAATCTATTTTACAACAATATAAATTATATAGCAGTTCACATAAATAAAGGCAGGATCACTTAAAAAAATAAAAAATAAAAATTGTATTCAATTAACAAAATCTATTTTATAACAATTTCCTAATTTTTCTAATTTTTTTTGACCTAATAAGCTAAATTCATTAAAATTTAAAAATCATATTTTATGTGATTATGCTAAACAAATAAAAATACTATATTCTTTACAACAAGAGGTAAAAATTAATTAAATTAAATTGAAATTTTTAATTTTATTTAATTATATAATATATTAAAATTTTTTAAAAAGAAAAATATATATTTTAAATCTCCTTATAATATTCAACTTTTTGGAATTTGTAAAGATGTATTTCTAATTCAAGTAAGAATTTAATAATAATATTTTAATATTTAAATTATTATTTATTTATTAATAAAATTTTTAGTATAATTATTTAATAAAAGAAGAAAAAAGTATTGAAAAAGGTACAAATGTAGTTATATCATTGATATATTATTATTTTACTTTTTATAGATTAGGTGAAGCCAATTTAATTATTTATACAAATAATTGTTCTGAACAAAATAAAAATAATACAGTAATTATATATTTAGCATAGAAAATTGCATGTAGATTACATATTCAAATTATATATTTATTTATAGTAGCTGGTCATACAAAATTTAGTCTTGATAGATTTTTTGGTCTTCTTAAATTAAAATTAAGAAAATCAGAAGTTGATAATCTTGATGATTTAGTAAAAGTAGTTAAAAATTCAACAAATGGAAACTTTAATTGAGCACAAACAATTTTTGATAAAAATAAGAATAGAATAGTATATTTTTATAATTAGACAGAATTTTTACTAAAATTTTTTAAACCAATTCCTAATATTTTAACATATCATTATTTTATATTATCTCAAAATAATATAGGTAAAATAGAAGTTAAAACAGCAATTGATAAAGATAAACAAATTATAAATATTTTAAAATTAAAAAATACTAAGATTATAGGATTTTTTCAAGAAATTTTTCTTGCAGAATTATTAGCTGAAAGACAATAGTATTTATATAAGCAAATACATTAGCATATTAAAGATTCTCAAAAAAAAGATGAATATTGCCTATTATTAAAAATTTCAAAACTAAAAAAAATAATGAAAAATATTTTATATTTATATAATTTAATTATTATTTATTATATTTAGATTATATTAAATAATAATTAAAATATTTTTTTACTTATATACTATATAAAAATTTTTATTTTATTTTATAATTTTATATTAATAATATATATTTATAAATAAAAATTATTCCTATCCATATTCTCAACAATATAATTTAAGATGCCAATAGCAACTCTAACCAACTTTGGCTACTTTTCCAAGACATAAGCAAGGCCTATAACTTAGTTAACTTTGAACTATTTCAAAAATCTCTCAATTGTATACAAATGCCTTAACAGCTAATCAACATCCTTACAAATCATTTGTTTGACCACACTAACCATGTAATTACCAATCTTGGTCTTACTAATTTTTACTCTGTTAAAAATAGCATTGACCAAGGAGAAACAATTACTTCTCTTTTTTGAAGAATTTATTATAATCCTTTTATTTCATATATCTTCTCACACTTCTCTGGATATACACTTTATACTTTTTGGCAAACCAGCCTCTTACATCCTTCTACTAATCATCTCAATACCTCTATATCTGTTCTGGCATATATGGATAACACTTTATGGATTGCCCAATCCAAAACACAACTAGATGAAATTGTCAACATCACCTCTTCTTTCT